CCCCTCCCCCTCGTCGTCGTCCTCCCCGCGGTTCGATCGGGGATCCACCTCTCGGCCTCCCCGCCCCCTCCCCGCCGCTCCCGGAGGTGTGCGACGTGCAGACCGCGATCTTCGACGGCGCGGACGCCGTGATGCTGAGCGGCGAGGCGGGCACGAAAGCCGCTGTCGTCCACCGCCGTCGTCGCCGACGCCGCCACCGACGTCGTCGTCGCCGTTGAGCCGCCGCCGCCGTCGCCGTCGTCGTCGTCGCCGCCTTCATCGTCGCCTTCATCGCCGTCGTCGCCGTCGTCGCCGTCGTCGTCGTCGTCGTCGTTGCTGAGCCGCTGTCGTCGCCGCCGCCGCCGCCGACCTCCGTCGAGGTCCTCCCGGGGGTGCTCGTCGCCACGGCTGGCCTCGGGGGCTCCAGTGAGTTGGCGTCCGAGCGATGGGGCCCACAGGGATTGGAGAGGGCTTCCAGGTTGGGCTGGCATCACTCAGGGCCCCCCCCCATCCTCCCTGGTCCCTCCTCCTTCTCCGCCTCCTGATTTCCTCTCCTCGCTTCCACTCTCCTCTTTCTCCCCCCTCCCCTGCTTCTCCTCCCCATCCCCTCCCTCCTCCCTCCTCCGCCGCCTCCTCGCCCTCCCTCCTCCCCTCCTGTACTACCTCCTCGCCCTCCTTCATTCTCCCTTTGCCTCTATCCCCTCCCGCTTCTACTCCACATGAGACCGATGCGGCGGACCGTACCCACTAGTGCCACGAGGCTTTCGGTGAACCTCCTCCTGGCCTGCGCCAGGGGGAGGGCAGAATAAAGCAAGAGGCAAGGAAGAAGAGGACATGACCGAACCGAGAGGCATGGAAGCAGCTGGATATCTGGCTGCCCCTCATCCTCCCCCCCTCGCCTCCGCCCGAAGAGAGAGGCGGCCAGCGGCAAGTTCCCCTGCGAGGCCGTGCGGGCCGAGGCGTCGAGCCGCCGCGCGGCTGGCGCGCGTGCGCGCCTGCTGGAGGAGGAGGTGGAGCTGGGTGGAGCGAAGAAGGAAACACGGCACAGACAACTCTTCTGGCGCTCCGCGCGGATTTCTTGGACCTGCGCTGGAGCGCCCTGGCGGCGCCTCTGCCGCCGCCTCTGGCGCGCTCCGCGCGCCAGGGAGGGAGGACCAGCTCAGATCTGAGAAATCCGTGCGGGCCGGCAACAGTTCATGTTTGTGCCGCTTGCTGCTCCTCTAGTGGAGGAGGGACCTGTACCGCACCTACGGTTGAAAGGCCCCGCCGCTCCCCTCCCCCTCCGGGGGCCTCAGGTGGTATTCACGAGTGTGGGCGGCCTTCCCTTCTCCCTCCCCTCTGGAGAGGGTGGGCCCGCCCTGGCCCCGGCCGCGCCCTCGCGCGTCGGGCGCGAGGCTCGCACTGTGGGTGGCGCGCTCAGTTGCTGCGGAGAGGGAGACCTCAAATGGCCGAGGGGAGGAACTGGGCCTCCCACATCGGGCCTGAGTAGATGGGGTCGGAGAATCGTGACGCACCGCTGGTGCATCGCCGACGTCGCCGACGCATCGCCCCCATCAGGGCCGTCTTGCGCAGTATGGGGGCTCCGTTGGGCCATCGTGGGCTCCTCTGGAGGCACTGTTTGGCCGTCTTCGGGGCCTGGGCCGCCCTAGGCCGTTTCTGACCCATCTTGGGACCCTCCTTAGAACCATTCTGAGCACTCCCTGATGTCTCCGAGTCCCTCTTGGACGCATCTGGGGCCAGGCCGATGGCGAACAGAGGAAAGGTAGACGGTGAGGATCCGCAGACGGCACGTTTACACTTTCCGCCGTGCCCCGGCCCTGGCCAGGCAGGGTGGTGGTGTTGGTGGATGGACATTTTCTGCTGGTGATGGTCATGGTCATGGTGATGATGGTGGTGATGGTGATGATGCTGATGCTGATTTTGATGATGATGCTGCTGACCATGATGGTGATGGTGATGATGATGATGGTGATGATGATGATGATGATGATGATGATGATGATGATGATGATGATGATGATGATGATGATGATGATGATGCTGATGATGATGATGATGATGGTGATGATGATGGTGATGATGATGTTTCGGGCCGGGCGAAAGGGGGGGATTGGGAAAGGGGGGGTTACGAAATTTGCTGCATGCAGCTGGTTTTGGCCTCACCGAGGGGCCCATTCCTCGATACATGGCCGCCTTCGGCGCCGGGAGGCGCCGGGAAAATCAGCTACGTGAGCTGATTCTCAAACCCCCCCTTTGCTATCCCCCCCTTTTGCCCGACCCGAATGTTTGTGATGATGACCAGATGACCATGAATATGAATATGAATATGATGATGATGATGTTGATGCTGATGCTGATGATGATGACCATGATGTGATGATGACGATGATGACCATGAGGATGATGCTGATGATGCTGCTGCTGATGATGATACTGACGATGATGATGATGGTGCTGATGATCATGATGCTGATGATGATGATGATGACGACGACGACGACGATGATGATGATGGTGATGATGATGACGATTATGATGATGATGATGATGATGATGATGATGATGATGATGATGCTGATGATGATGATGATCTGTTATGATGATGCTGGTTGCGAGGAGGAGGATGAGGATGAGAAGGAGGCGTTCGAAGAGGAGTAGGAGGCGCTCTATGAGGAGGCGTTCGAGGAGGCATTCGAGGAGGCGGAGGCGTTCGAAGAGGAGGAGGAGGAGGAGGAGGAGGAGGCAATCGATGAGGCGTTCTAAGAGGGTTCTTCCCGCCTGACACTGCCCAACAGAGTGAGAAAGAGAGATCAAGTGTTGTCTAGGCGTTCGAACGAGGAGGATGCGGAGGAGGAGGAGGAGGAGGAGGAGGAGGATGCGGAGGAGGAGGAGGAGAAGGAGGAGGAGGAGGAGGAGGAGGAGGAGGAGGAGGAGGAGGTCGCCACCCCTCGCGGGGACCAGGCCGACGCGGCGCTTGAGGCGGAGACCGTGCGCGACCTCATGAGGCCCGCACCGAGGGGGCGGGGCTCGCCTGCCAGACCCTGGCGAGCCTCTCGATACTCGGGAGGAGAAAACACAGACACAATTAATCGTCGATTCTCAGAAAATATGGGAAAATATGGGAAGTGGGGGGGAAGACAAAAACCAAGAAAATATTGGAAAATAGGGGGAATCCTTTTAGTTGTGTGTATTTATTTGTGTGTCCCAGGGCCCCTTCAGATAGTCCTGCGAGCATCGAGGAAGGAGTCGCACCCTCACGGCTGAAGGCCATGCACAGGTTTCCGAGGGGGCCCAGCAGTCCATTTCCTGGTCTCTATTTTCAAGCTTGTTGAATCGCTTCGCTCATTTCGCCGGCCCATATTCTCGCATTTCTTCCGTTTGCTTGAGGGCTCGTTTTAAACCCGGCGTCGTTCGAGTCTCTTGACAGGAGTCTCGGGAGCTCCCTGGAGGGGCCTCTTGGGCCGTCTTGGGGCCATTTGAGGCTGTCTTGGGGATCTCTTGGGCTCTGTTGGGGCCGTCTTGGGTGCCTCTTGGGCCGTGTTGGGGCCATCTTAGGCCGTCTTGGGGCTCTCTTGGGCCGTCTTGTGACGCTCTTCGGACCCGTTGGGGCCGTCTTGGACGCCTCTTGGGCCGTCTTGTGGCCATCTTGGGCCGTCTTGGGGCGCTCCTGGGCCGTCTTGGGCCCATATTGGGGCCCTGTTGGGCCTTCTTGGGGTAATCTTGGTGGTCTCTTGGGCAGTTGTGGCGCTGTGAAACCTGAAAAGTTGCATCTGCGAAGAGTATGCTTGCCCGAGGGAATTGGACAATTTTTGCTTCTTGGGGCCTTGTTGGAGGGCCCCTTGAGGCACTCTTTGGGCTTCTTGGCGGCTTCTACGGCCATCTGGAGACCATCGTGACTGGAGGCCATCTTGGACTGTCTCGGGGACGTCTTGGAGCCCTGTTGGTACGCTCCTGGAGCGCTCTGGGGGAGTTGACCAGGACCTGGCCGGGGTACTGTTCGTCCGGGGACCCCCAGGGGCCGCCCCGCGCGCGCGATTCAGAAGTACTCTTAACCAGTTGCCGTAGATTTTAGCACGCCTCTTGTCCTCTGGCCGGCGAATTTCCATTATTACTACGAACGACTACGCCTCCGACGACTACGACTACCATTATTAGTACGATTCCCATCACTCTACCTCCTCCTCCTCCTCCTCCTCCTCCTACTACTACTACTACTACTACTCCTACTACTACTACTACTACTACTACTACTACTACTACTACTACTACTACTACTACTACTACTACTACTACTACTACTACTACTACGACTACGACTACGACTACGACTACGAACCTACGACCTACGACGACCGACTACCGAACACCCTTACGACGACGCGACGCCGACGACAAGACGACGACGACTACTAACTACTACTACTACGACCACTACTACTACTAACTACTACTACTATACTTACTAACGACTACGACTAAACGACTACTACTATTACTAACAACTACTACTACTACAACTAAACTACTACTACTACGAACTGCTACAACTAACTACTACTAGACAACACAACCTACTACTACTACTACTACGACCACTACGACCACTACGACTACTACTACTACTACTACTACTACTACTACTACTACTACTACGGCTACTACTACTACTACTATTGCTACTGCTACTGCTACTGCTACTGCTACTGCTACTGCCACTACTACTGCTACTACTACTACTACTACTACCACGGCGACTACCACGACTACTACTACTACTACCACTACTACTGATACTGCTGCTATAACTACTACTTCTACGACTACTACTACGATTAGTACTACTACTACTACTACTACGACTACTACTACTACTACTACTACTACTACTACTTCTACTATACTACTACTACTAGTACTACCACTACTACTACTACTATTACTACTACTACTATATACTACTACTACTACTACTACTACTACTACTACTACTGCCAACTACCATACTACTACTACTACTACTACTACGATACTACTACTACCACTACTACTTTACACTACTACTACACTACTAACTACTACTACTACTACTACTACTTACTACTACCGACTACTAATACTACTACTACTACTACTACTACTACTACTACGACTACGACTACGACTACTACTACTACTACTACTACTACTACTACTACTACTACTACTACTACTACTACTACTACTACTACTACTACTACTACTACTACTACTACTACTACTACTACTACTACTACTACTACTACTACTACTACTACTACTACTACTACTACTACTACTACTACTACTACTATTACTACCACTACGACCACCACTACTACTACTACTACTACTACTACTACTACTACTATTACTACTACTACTACTACGACGACTACTACTACTACTACTACTACTACTACTACTAATACTACAACACCACTCATACTACTAATACTACTGCTTCTACGACTACTACTTCTACTACTACTGCGACGACTACTACTACTACTACTACTACTACTACTACGAATGGATGTCCGAGTTTGGCCTACAGAGGGGGTCTTTGGGGAGATGGGGGTTGGATGGCCTGAGCTCGACCCCCCCGAGTTGAGGTCCTGATCGAGGGCCGCGGGGCCCGACCCCCCCGAGTTGAGGTATTGATCGCTGCCCGCAGGGTGTTTTTCAACCATCGAATTTCCTCTTCGTCCGTCTTGCGTCCTTCTCCTCCTCTCCCTCTGTCTTCCGCTCTCGTCCCACGTCGATCCTCCTTCGGCGACGCCCCTCCTCAAACAGTCATCCAGGGCACGTCCCCAGTATGATGTGTGTCGTGATCCCTCTGCTCTACGATGTGCCTCCTCTTCCGTCCTCCCATTTTCGCCCTTGCCCGCCCGTCCTCCCGGATCTTTCTCCCTCCTCATCCTGCCATCCTCATCGCGGGTTGTCGGATCGGCTGTATCGAGAGTGGATGAGGAGGAGGGGGGACGCGAGGCAAGGGAGAGAGGAGTAGAAGGAAAGGAGACATAACAGATATTCGCTTGAGGCATCCTGGACGCATGGGAACCATTAGATGGAGCGCATAGGCCCGAGACCCTGGCACATCCTTTGCTCTGCGGGGGTGGCGTTAGTGACCCTGGACCGTCCCGGGATTGGCCATCTGCTGACCGCGGGGCCCTGGACTTGGCACTCAACGATTCCGTGAGAAGGGCCCCCCTACGTTCCAGTGCCCCGGGAGGGCCACTGCGTGTGCCCGCGCTGTGTATCAGTCTCTCAGGTGTTCTCTCGAGCGTTCTTCACGTTCCATCGCTGGCTTGGCATCTCGGCAATTCTGGAGGGTGCCAGTCGGGCGTCGTCGGGCCTGGTCCTTGCGATCCAATATCGGTTCAGATCGTACGGCGGCAGAGAGCCGTGGAGCAGAGTTGCAGGTGGTGTTTCTGCGCATGGCGACGCCGTCGGCGTGGAACAGACTGCAGCGAAGTACGAGGTGAACGTTGCGGCCGCATCGAGGGCATCTTGCACGAGAAGAGGCGGGGGGTCAGATCAGACATGGTTGACGTTCATTGTGCGACAGCCAACGCTGCTGCAAACGTCAGACGGCACCACAGCTGAATCGATTCATCATGGGATGTTGCACTGAGGTTCGGACGCTGACCTTGACCTCGACAGGACCTTCCTGTTATCACCGACGAGGCTGGTTCGAATACCCGCTATGAGAACTGGAGGAGGGCGCTGAGTTCAGACGACGCGTCCCTCCACCTCTACTGCGATGCTCCTAATTCGGCCCAGGTCGCCTCACCTGGCAGCGGTCTCCAGAAGCCCATCGACACTCATCATTCGCATGCAGTTGTCCATGGAGGTAGATCGACCTCGCATCTTGAAGGCAAGGAGGGGGATTTTAGCGGGGCGCTTGACAATCATTGAGGGTGGGCAATTGTCAGACGAGGAGCCCCGCTACAGTCGCAACGTTTTCACGCGCTCTTGCCAGAGCGGACGTCAGCCGATGAGTTCAGACGACAGCTCGTGGAAGGCCTCTGGAACGGCAGCCTTAGGAAAGTATATCGCGTTGAGCATACGTGCAGTGGCTGTTGCAGGTCCCGGTCACAGACGCTCCACCGGATGCGGGCTCAGAGCGCTGACCAAGCACGCTGCCACCGTCACTGTCAGGAGCAATTGGACTCTGGCACACCTCAGCGCTGGCGGGCTCTATCTTACATCGTTCGTCCACAACCTACTGTCAGAGGCATTTATCATGGTTTTCTTCGGCGCCGTTCCAGCTCGCGTTGACGATTGCGAGCGGTGGATGCGGGTCTTCGGCAACCCGTCGGATGGCAAGCCAGGCGATGGCGAGCTGAAGGGGGCGGAAGTTTCGGTGTGGAGGGAAGATAAGGAAGCCAAGACCTCTCGTGCGTTGCGCTGGTTGACCAGCGGCTCTTTCCACGACGACATTTACGTATCCGCGATGTCCCGCGAGCCGCGCAGCATTCCCATCTGGAGGGAGTTGCAGCGCAGCGGAGGGGAGTGGGGGGGTGTCACGCAGCAGCGCATGCTCCTCACCACTGGCTCGAGGTCGTACTCGCTTTGGGAAGCCGCTGATCGATCAGACGTCGACGCCTTCATTGCTTGCATTGTCCAGTTCGTCTGGAACGAAGCTCGGTGGCCGTTGCTCGCGGACGTGGCCGAGGAGAGGCAGCTGATTTGATTATCGCTCTGCTTTCGCCTCTCGGCCAGCGTTTACCAGCTCGTCGACACAAGGCGTCGCAGGCCGCCCTACAACACGTTCGCTGGCCTCCGTCGGGCCGATGGACTCGGGCATCTTCGGGTCGGCCGAGATGCGCGCTGGGCGAGCGCATTGATAACGTTGTGGTTTTCCACGGGTCTCAAGGCGGGGTTGACGGAGCTATGGCTCGGGCTGGGTTGTCTGGGGCCCTGCCGCTCATGCTGGCCAACGCTGCCTTCATCGAGCTTGCCCACAGCGATAACCATATGCAGGGCTTATCGAGGCCCCCTGGCGAACCCAAGGATGATGATTGAGGAGAGGTTCAACGGGGGAAGGCGGGGGGGGGATCAGGGCGGGGGTCGGGCGGCGGGAGTCTTATTTGTTTCGGGTCGAGGGCTGGCGGCCGGAAGGGCAGCAAGGAGTCGAAGGATGAGGACGAGGAGGGCCCTCGCCCCCGACAGGCAGTTTACACGGGGATTGGATGGAACATCTCTCTCTGGATTCCGTTTATTTGGGCAGCAGCGAAAATGACGGAGGGCAGCGTTCAAGCAGTGGGGCGACGTGCGGTGCGCAGCCAAACAGGAACGGCGTCGAGCCGCAGAGCGAGCGGACCAGCCTCATAATATAGCAAAGTGGACCTGGCGAGCTTTTGTACACATGGAGGGCGCTGGCCGTCTGATGGACCACACGTCTGGCATCTCCACTCGCCCACTCGCCATCGGGCCCTCAGCGTTGAGGATATGACACCATGCGGGAACCTGGCGGCCATCGCGGTTCAGGGGCATCGGGCTGGTCGCCGAGCTTTTGGGCCAATGGGGCGTTCGAGAGCGCAGCCTCTGAGCAATGCTGGTCAGGTGCTGGTGGCGCCCGCGGTTGGCATTGCAGGCGATGCAGCGGTCGACGGCAGTCGGGCCCTCTCGAGCGACAGCATCATCCTGCAAAACTCATTGGCCGAGCGGGCGCGCCACAAGGCGGCGTTCGCAGCCGAGCAGGCCGATTCCGTGACGCAGCCGACGATCTACGCCGACAGTCCGATCGCGACACCGCGGCCTTGGGCTCAGGTGTGGCACGTCGTCTTGGGCGGGTTGCCACCGTCTGTGTCGGGCGATTTGGCAGCCCAGCGTTCGATCATGCCCGCGATCGTGTATGCGAGGGCCCCAGACTCCATCATTGCCGAAGCATGGAGCGCGCTGAACACCAGCAGCATGCAGGTCGAAGCCGACAAGTGGGCGAGTCTGCGCCCACACACGACCGAGGCAAAGTGTGAGCGGTTGAACGCTCCAGCCAAGCCCAGGCGTTTTTGTTGGGAGGCTGAACGCTGCGTTTCCACGGGTGTGTCCCGCGTTGCCAAGACGTTTCGTGACATACTGATGGTCGTTCGGCGCGCGCTCGACCGCGGGCTCGGGGGCAACTTATTCCAAAAGAGAGGTTTCGGCTGGGCCTCCGGATGATAAAGGTCACTTCTCATGGTCTCGCAGTGCCGCCTCCTGGTGGCGGCCGCCGGCGATGGCGGTAAGGCACTGGGCACCGTGGCGCCAGACGGTCTCCCGTGCATCGATGTTGGGCAGGCGACGCTGCGCCCCAAACTCACAGCGGCCGCGGCGGCTCGGACGGAGGACCCTTTTTAGGAGGGATAAACACACAATTAATCGTCGATTTCCCCCAACAAGATGTGAAAATATGGGAAGGGGGGAAGACAGAAACCCAGCAAAAAATTGAAAATATGGGAATCCTTTTATTTGTGTGTATTTATTTGTGTGTCCCAGGGCCCCTTTCACCTTTTCTAAGTGGGCAGGACTTGCTGTCGGTCTTCGTCCCCAGTACTCCCACGCCGACAAAGACCATCTGCTCTTCGGGAGGGGCCCTGGTTTTCGGGCCGCTCACCAGGCTTAGGTCGGGGAGCCGATTCGTGGCCAAGGTTCGCCATTGCCGCAAGGGCCCTTCCATTCCTTATTCGGCGCTCCTCATGGTAGGTAGCATGGCCACTGTAACGTGCCAGTTTCCATTGTGATTCCAGCGACACCGGATCCATACGGCTACCACAGAATTCAAACATACCCAGGATGGTTCAGCGCCCCAGTGGGAAGTGGGCGATTTTGCAAGCATTCGCGGTTCGTCTGCGTCGTCGCCGTCGCCGTTGAGGCCGCTAGGCCGCAGCCAGCGAACCAGACGAGCCATGCGCTCTAATCATCATTGCCCGTATCTTTCCCCAACTGAATGCTGGTATCTAGGGGCTCGTACTTGTCCCCCCAAAGCGCTGGTGCGTGTGGCGAGGTTTCGCCACGTTGTCGCCGGTCGCCGCCCGCTGTCGCTTCGGGTAGGTATGTCGATGGGGTTGTGCGGGATTCCGGGTTTGCTTGGTGACTCCCCGTTTCGCAGTGTTTCGTTGATGAAATATAGGTATCATATCCACATCGAAACTCTCACACATACACACATGTATATATATATATATACATACATACACATGTCGAGATGTAAATGGTTTCGCGCTCGTAGCAGGTGTTGCACCCTGGTGGTCTCGTTTCGTCCTCCTGCAACACAGATCGAGGGGCCTTCGGCCCATCCCGCCACTATGCCTGGGTTGTCGGTCGGGATCTAGTGGGAGACCTCTCGGGAGTCTCTTGGTGGCGGTCTTAGGGGTGCTTCGGGGCGTTTCGGGGGCCTCTCGGGGCCTTGTCCTCTGCCTCCTCCTCCCTTTCTTCCTCCTCCCCCGCCTCCTCCTCCTCTTCCTCCTCCCCCTCCTCCTCCCCCTCCTCCTCCTCCTCCTCCTCCTTCTCTTGGGTGTCCGGACCTGTCTCGGGGCGTTTGGGAGCTTCTGGCGCCGTCGCAGGCACTGCGGAGCTCCTGCCGCGCCGCGCCGAACGCCGCAGGCCGCAGATACCCGACGGCGCCCACCCGCACGAGGCAGCGCAGCGCGGGGCGGCGGGGCGGCTGCACGGCGGGCGCCGTCGGGGGCGGCCGACGCTGGGCCGCACCGCGCCGGAGGGTCAGAGGAGGAGAGGGCACCCATGGCCATCGGTCGTTGAACGTAGGTATTTCTGGATTCCCAGATTCCAATCTACTGTATGCGCCTTCCTACTTCAATGGTCGAGTGGCTTCACCTTCTCTGTTCTCCTTGGGGGGCGGACGGAAGCCAATCTCTTTTCAACGCCTTCCTACTTCATGCTTCTACCTACTTCTTCCGACCGATGGGTACCTCTACCCTTCGCCCGTTTCCCCTTTTTCGGCCTCCTGGGAGGCCGTCGTCGCCACCGCTGCATTCGCCCCGAAATCCTGGTCAGAACGCAGCCCGGGAGAGGTCCGGGGACTGGCGGTATCGGTACCTTCTGGTTGCTCCAGAGGGTCGGCACGAACGGAGTGGAGGCGGAAAGCATGGGAATGAAGTGGGTACGGAGAGCTAGTCTTGTTCATTTTGAACAGGACCCGCTGTTCGCGCCGCCTCAGATGCTGTCCATTTCAGACAGAAGGCCGGCTGATCAACAGCTGCCGCGGTCGGTTTTCGACAACATTTGTTGTTGGGCATCGTACCCATTGTTCCACTCGCATGTCGGGTGTCCAAAGAGGGGAAGTGGCGCACGTGACGGGTTCCAGCGCCAACGGGGGCAGTCCTCGGTTGCCCTGAGAAGCGCGGTTGGCGCCTCTGCTTCAGGAGCGACAGAAGGACGTTACCACGTACATGAATCCACGTTGCTTTCGAGAGCATGCGGTGCGCGAACGTCCGTATCTCGCGCGGACGGCCTCGCGGATCGAGGGGCCGCGCTCGCGTGCATGGCTGGGCGCGGACCGTCCTCGGTGGGCTCCCTCCGCTTGCCTGCCGCTCTCCGCGCCGCTCGTGACCGGAGCAGAGCGCTCCGAGGACGGCACCCTGGCGGCAGTGGACGTCCGTGCGGGCGGCGCCGGGATGCCCCACGAGCGTGCACTCCCCGACGCGCCACGGCGGGCGGGCAGGGGATCGGGCAGGCAGGGCCACGGGCCGCGCCCGTGGCGTGAGAAAGGGCAGCAGAAGAGGCGCCCAGCGCCTAGCTCGGGGGGCGGCCACGAGGGGGGTGATGACTATGGGCGGGGGGGATTTCCTGGCGTGGGCCACGATTTGTCCTCCGCTTTCATGGCGCCTCTTCGTATGTCGTTGCGTTCCTGGGCCCCCCCCCTGGGGCCGCACACGTGCCGCCGGCCATGATTTGCACCCCCCCCTCTTGGACACCCCCCTCTTGGCCGCCCCCGACCTACGGAAGCGTCGATCTCGAGCACGGGGAAAACGTCAAAACGCCGAATGAGAACGTCAAGCGCCGAAAGAACACGACAAGGCGGCGCACAGCACCGCAAGAGAACTTCATGAATTCTGGAGGGAGCGTGGATCAGCGTTTTCAAGATCATCTCAGGGTCAGCCAGTTCCCTCTGGCTGAACCGCTTCTGGGAGCCAGGTGAGCGACGGAAGAGAAAGGAGACGATTACGCGGATATCGGCGCGTACGCCACCCGCGTAAGGTCGCGTGTCAGCGCCCTCGATTCCAATGTACCGTGCCTCGCTGGCGGCCCGCGTACGCCGCGGCGTAAAGTCGTTGCGCCACATCGCGCAATACCCGCTTCTTTTCGTCTCGAAGGTGGGGCCGATCCCTCCTGTCCACTCTCCGTTGACCCCGAGGTTAAGAGGTACTACAGTCGAAACCGATACGTATTAAGGATGGACGACTTCCCGAGGGTACCCTTGCATCCCTGCCTCTCCGGCCATCCTTGGTCCATCCTCAACCACTCTCGATGGCCAGCCCCGCTCGAAGAGCTTCTCAAGGCCCCTGCATCCTTATCGCGCATCCATGCTATCATGGTGATGACGATGGTCATGACGATGTCGGTATCTGAGTCTCATCTGGCCCCAGAACCATCCAACGTGAGTTTGGGACGAAAAAGCAGCCCCGGGGAAGGGGTCGGGACTTGGGGCCGCGCATGGAAAAACCTTGTGGGGGCAGATTGGCCGTGTGCGTCCTGTCCATCGTGATATCTTGGTATCTCGATGCACGGGCGGCCATCTCGATATCTCTATATCTAGATATCTCGATATAGGGGCTCGCCGACTCGACATCTCCATATCTCGATGTCTCGATGCATGCTGGTGGAGTACTCCAGAGCTCGACGTCTCGATCTCTCGATCTCTCGATGCCGCAGGTGGGGTCGATGAAAGGGGCGTGGATGCCCGTGCTTCCGTGCCGATGGCGTCCGATGTCCAGCGGGCCCCTGTCCAGACGCAGACCTCGAGATCTCGGCACATCGAGACGTCGGTGGGTGCGACGGCACTGGCCCGTACGAGGGCACTGGCCCGTGCCCACGCCACGCAGATGCTAGAGCACTGAGAGGAGGAGGAGGAGGAAGGGAGGAGGAGGAGGAGGATGAAGGGAGTAGGAGGAGGAGTAGGAGGAGTAGGAGGAGGAGGAGGAGGAGGAGGAGGAGGAGTTGGAGGACCAGCAGGCGGCCGAGTCGTGCAGCCGATCACGGGAGCACGGGCCAGCATTGGGCCAAGCTCGCCTCACGCACCGTAACACGCGAGGACAGATTGGGGCCTACGCGAAGCGTGGCAAGCAGAGTTATCGAACACCCTCCAATGGCTTCCCAGTGTTGGGATGCTTGCCAGCCCGCACACACACCAGACGTTATACCTCTGCCTGCTGCGGGCTGGGGGGTGCTCGGAGGGGCCTAGATGCTTGTTACCACTGAGCCTACAGTTGGCGACTTGTCCAACAGACACCTGGTAGGAACCAAACTGGGTGCACACCATCGCACCGCGGGTCACCCAAACTTGGTGCCCGTCGAGCTCGACGATCGCTTCATCGATCGGCGCACTGACACCCTCGGCCCCTGATTCGCAAGAACGGAACCCTCGTCGCCGAGATACGCATGAGAAAACTCTGACGCCGTCGACACAGCCCTGGTTCTAAGAGGCGGGGCACTCTGAAAAAGGAGGTCCCCGTTGGCCTTTAGCGTTTGTTGGGCCGTGTGTACACACGCAGACAGCAACACCTGATTGAGGAGAAGGAGGAGGAGGAAGAGGTGGCGGAGGATGAGAAGGAGAACGGGAGGAGGAGGAGGCGACCGAGAGGGAGGAGGAGGGGGAGGAGGAGGCAGAGGGCGCGAGAGCGCTGCGTGCTTTAGCATGAAGTCCGAGCCGCGTCAAACAAAGGCAGAGGGCGCAGCCAGTCGGCAGGAGGGAGGAGCCAGTGGAAAGTAGCGCCGAGGAGAACAACAACGAAGGAGGAGGAGGAACAGGAGGAGGACGAGGATGAGGAGGAAGAGGAGGGTGAGGGTGAGGGGGGGGGAGAAGGAGAAGGAGGAGGAGGCGGAAGACAGGGCGACACTTAATGCGCAATGTGGGACCCTTCTGCGTAGCGAGACACAGTGCATCGGACTGGGAGCGGATGAGAGGGGTAGGGATCATCATACGTACGTGGGACAAGTTGACGTCAGGAGAGGGGGTAGGAGGAGGCGAGAAGAACGCCATGTCGGGAATCGTAGGAAGTTGAGAAGGACATGTATGCTACTGATGTTGTGGTTGTTTAACGTTGCTGCACATGATGATGCTGTCGATGGTGATGATGCTGCTGCTCATGATGATGCTGATGTTGATGATGCTAAATATAATGCTGCTGCTGCTGATGATGCTGATGCTGCTGCTGGGGATGATGATGATCATGATGATGATGCTGCTGATCATGATCATGCTGTTGATGGCGAGTGTGATGATGATGCTGATGCTGATGCTGCTGCCGATGATGATACTGATGCTGCTGCTGATGATGATGCTCATGGTGATGCTGACGATGAGGGTGCTCATGATGTTGTTGATGATACTGATGCTGATGCTGATGATGATGTTGCTGCTGCTGATGATGAAGATGTTGGTCGTGATGATGTTGGCGATGTTGATGCTGTTGCTGCTGATGTTGATGATGTTGCCGATGACGATGATGATGCCGATGCTGGCGACGACGATGATGCTGCTGATGATGGTGGTGACGGTGATGGTGATGATGATGCTGACGATGAGGATGATGGTGATGATGATGCTACCCATGATGATCATGTTGATGATGTTGATGATGATGATGCTGATGATGATGTTGCTGCTGCTGATGATGATGACGGCGACACCCGATGCTGGTGATGCTGATGATCATGAGACGCCGCTGCTACTGATGATGTTGAGTAGGCTGATTGAGCTGCGGAAGCTGATGATGCTGCTGCTGATGATCATGATGATGGTCATGCTGATGATGATGCTGCTGCTGATGATGATGAAGATGATGCTGCTGGTAATGATGATGAAGCTGATGATGATCATTCTCATGATGGTGGTGGTGTTGATGGTGATGCTGATGAGGAGGAGGAGGAGGGGGAGGATGTCGAGGAGCAGGAGGAGGACAACGAGGAGGGCACGTAGGATGAGGTACCGTCTGTAAGAGGACGATGCGCAGGAGGAGGAGGAGGTGGAGGAGGAGGAGGAGGGCGTTGAGGAAGTTTCTCAAGCAGTCGTGCATTCAGCAGCCAGGTGGCCTTCCGAACGGCTTGACGCAGGGCTTGGCTCTCGCCCCGCCCTCCCTCCTTTTTTACCCCCCCTCATCCGTCCTCCTCGTCCTCGTCCTCTCCTAGCCCCCTTTTGCCCGAGCATTTTGCCAGGATGGGGGGGGGGGCTCTCAACACCGCTGCGCCGCACAGCCCGTTGCCTTGCGACGGCCTCGGCGCCCGCCAGTCGCTGCAGATGGCGCCAACTGCGGGCACTGCGCTCAGAGTGATAGGATACAATCCCATGTGGGCGAGCGGATTGAGAATGCAGGGGATATTACATCACACGACGAACTACGACGCGGTGCTGCTCTGTGGAACACAGACGGTGTGCCGCAAGTCCGAGGGTGTTCTGCG